GAACTATAAGACAAAAGTAACTCCAAATGTGTCAGAGTGCTGGTAATACATCATTCATTTCTGTCTCGTTGGTCCAAATCAGCTTCTTGATTGAAGAGGGCAGGGAGAGAGCCTGACGTAGGTTTTGAATGTTTGCAATCATAGAAGCTATGTAAATATCTGGGGAGCAGCATGTGGATTCAGCAGAAGGTTTTAGCTAATAGCCTGTACTATACAATGTCTGTAACCACAAAGAAGAATCTAAATAGGCAATTGTTTAAACTAATCCAGAGAGTTAAATAATTTTAAATCAAATAGAGCTAGGCTATATCTTTCTTCTGCGTGGGTATGAAGTGAGAGAGAACGTGTGTGCAAGGGAAAGCCAGATCAGAGCCTCTGCTTAGAGCTGTTCAAGGCTGCTACTGAAAGCAGAGCAGCTGAAAGGGGCAGCCCGTGGGTGGCTCAGTAAAGACGACAGCAGTACAAAGTCAGGAGATGCTGAAAGCATGGAAGAGAGTGGCAAAATCACCCTCTGAGGGAACAGGACAGCTTCCAAGCTACCCGGGAAATGCTCTTTTTTTGCTGCTTGCTTTGTTGTAAATGCACAAAAGTAATGTATTGTCATTTACTTGTGGTTCCTTCCAGTAAGAAAACCTCACTGTGTGAAGCCATCACGTGGTTTCAGCAGTCCTCTGGCAAAAGGCACGCTATGTACAGCTGAGAGTATGTTAACTAAATTATATATACAGCATCAAACTGCAATGAAAAGAGAATATCAAGAATCAGTTGTAAAGATTTAGGAAAAAGCCGGGGGGGTTTAGGACAACTGCAACATCCGAGTATTGGTGCGTTAAAGAAAAACTACTTGGACAGGAATTTATAAATTAGATTATATATTCAGCAGCTGTGAAATTAAAATATAAATACAGTCTTGAGGGAATAACTAATTTTCAGGTGGTGGTGGTTGTTACGAACTTGCATCTGTAAATGAAAGACACGAAAGCAGATTTTAAATTACCGGTTTCTCATTGCAGCCATGGACTTATTTCTTAGCATACAGAGCATTGCTTTGCTGCTGCTTTGACTTTTACCTGCTTGTCAGTCACCTTCCAGTCTGCTTCCTCTCAGTCATTTTTAACAGAATGTCTTTGATTAAAGAAAATTGGTTGATACATTGATCTAATGAAAACGCTAGACAAATGCTCCTTCTTGGAACTGACATCAGGAATGTTATACAAGACATTCTTAAATATGCTGGCAGCTGCCCTGAATGTAATGAAATCATGGAAATTAGAAGTATTGCACTCTCTGTGTGGCCAGCTCAGGACTCTTTTCAGTATTTTACCCCATTTTGCTGTGACTTTCAAAAGGAATCACTTTTCCTAAATTTTTCTTGGGACATTCATCAACATGCTTATAATTCCCACAGTCAGGAAAATTATCCTGATATTCCTAGATACTATCTTTGCTTTTTTTTTTATTGCACACATTTCCTTATGCTGACATCCCTTTGTACCATGCTAAATCATTCCTCGTACAGCAGAGAGTCTGCAGCCTTCAGAAGACCTATAACTTTTCTAGTAGAAATTCTATTCCCACTGCAGCCAGCAGTAAAATTCCCACAAACTTAAGTGGTTTGGATTTCACATGCATTTTTAGTCTTCTCCTGTATGACACTTTAATCCTTACTACATTCTTAGTACAGAGGCTGTCTGAATACAGAAGTAGAACAGTGGCAATGATGCATGCTTTGTGTTTCACTAGCACCTTTCCATGCAAGGATCACAAAGCAGCTTATGAAAGATGGGTGAGACCAGCTGTAGAGCATAAGGAATAGATATTATTTTCGTTCTTCTAAAACGCAGAGAAGGTAGAATGGAAGGACCTTTATCTCTGTGGCAATATGTGTATATAAATGGAAGCACTACCCTAGCTTTCATGTTACCTTCCTTCCCTTCATACATGTTTTCTTCACCTATCGCTTCTCTGTAGCTTTGGTGTATTTTCATCAGATATTCTGAATTTGAGTTTTCCAAGGTTAATCTAATTTTCTTTACCTAGTTTTTAGCACTCTAGATTCTTCCACAGTTTCTTATTGGAGGCTTACAAAAGTTTCTACAATAATTGCAGTTGTGGGTGTTTGAAGTAATGATATTCCATTCCTCTCAACAATTAATGGCACTATTAAGCAAGACTCAACGAGAACTTAGACCAGATTCATATTCTGTCGCTTAACACTTGCTATTGGAACTAGCAAGTTCTGGCTTGAGGATGAGGAGCACTGAAAGAGCACTGTAGCTGCCTTGGCCGTTGGGGAAGGAGGTGCAGAAACCTGTTTCCACCTTTTTCATTCTCCTTTTCTGTTCAGCATGCACTTTCTGTTCAACAGCCATCAAAGGGTTTTCTTACATATTCTGGTTTGGGTTTATTCATTGCAGCAGACTTGCAAGAGCCTTTCTAGAACACAGAGTGGCAGGGACCTGGACTGAGGGGTGGCTTGCACTGAATCTAGAGTCACCAGGATGCTCGGTGAGAAAACCAGCCATTTTCAAAGCATGACATGGAGATGGAATAGGGGTGTCTCCATCACTTCTGTCTTTACCAGGCAGCTTCACTCTCAGATGTTGCTCTTAGCACAACACAGAGACGGCTTACAAAAGAAAGCCTGATAATGCTCGTAGGTCTACTGTACAGCATAGAAATCTGTTAGAAGCAGATTTCCATGTGCATGATGCGATACAAACAAGATGGTTTCTGATATGAAAAGTCTTCAGTTGAAACATCAAATCATTAAGAATGCTATGGCCAGAAGCTTTTGTCATAAATTACTGTAAACTCATGAAAGATTGATCTTTTTTGATTTCAGAGAAAATAAAGCAACAGTATGAAGTCAGCTCTATTATAGTTTCAAACAAGAGACAGGCTCCTGAAGTATTATCCACTTTCTGTAAATATCACCTATGAGCCTGTATATAAAAGGTTAAATGTTTGCAGACTATCACCCTTTGCCTAAAAGATCAGAGACAAATTACTACTTTTACTTTACATACTCTTGATGAGGATAATGATAAACATCTGTCACTTTGCTGCTTAGCCAGCTAAGAATCTTATTGCAATCTGTAATTTAAACAGTGAAGAAAAAAAAGAAAAGAAAAAAAATACACTGACAAACTGCACTTTATATAGACAGCAAAGAAGAAAAGAAAGAGAATAGTATTAATTCAAATGCAGAGGAGCTTGGCAGGAGGCAGTTTTGGTCTGCAGTTACTTGGCTAAAATCTGTGGATATATGATAGATGTATGATTTTCCATTTATTTGGTATTTTACAGGTAAAATTACAGTTAGTTTCTTTTCAGACATAGAGGCTAAGGAAAATAATCTGTATGCTGTGACTTTTTGGCACATGCAGTTTATTAACAGAATTATTAAGGTTTATAGGGTAGTGTGTCTACTGGTGTTACAGAATTGAAAACACTATTTTCATGAAGGGCTCTTTCAGTGTCCTGCACAGTCCCAACATTTTTAGGTAGCTAATTATTTTTTAAGTCCATAGATTAGCTGGTTTTCCATTAATTCATCTGTAATTAAAAGCAATCTGAACTTCTGAAACTTTTTACAAACATTTTGTTTTGTTTCTAAATGGTATATGGGATCTTATTTCTTAACAAAACTGTAACTTAACACACAACCATCACCATTTCATTTCGACTGGACTGACCATAGTTTACAAGGAGTAGATACAAAGTGATCTACCTGCCAGTGCGGGATGAGCAAGAAGCAGACCCTGCGTTAGGAGATGAAACTTGGATCTCATTTTGGCCCAGCAAGAATGGATTTCATGCAGGGAGAAGCCCCTTTGGGGACATGTTTTCATGTCTAATGCTCTTTCGCTAATGGGTTAGCTACTGATTTTCACTGTTCCAGGAATCTGTAAAGCCTAGTGATGTGCAGATTTTAGCTAGATGCTATATTGCAAATGGAGTTGTGCTGACAGGAACCTGGCTGGTATGTAACTAGTTTGTGTTATTGGGTTATTCACTTTTTGCAAGTACTTTTCTGTTTCTGTATGTTATGCTTCTAGGTACCAACAGAACAGGTTTAGAATTTATAGTCCATGCTAATATGGCTTTGGTGGTAACTTTCAGGGAGAAGTATTATATGTCAGAATTTGGGGAAAGAACATTTTTCTTTGTACTTTTCAAGTTGAAATTCCATTCTTTTGGCATCTTTGAGCCTCAGAAAGCAGTTTGATTTTCGCCAAAAGACTACTTTTCTTTTTTTAGGTTTTCTTATACAGGCCAGACCAAAGGAAAGTAAATACCTTTTAGCTTCCAGTTAAAGTTCCTGGTATTTTCTTTAATTAGGTCAGCTGTTTACATACAAAGAAGGGTTTTTTTCTATCCAATGAAAAAGAGACCTCTAATATATAATCCAGCCTATGTTATGCTGAGCCTTGGGCACTGGAACCGATGATGCTCTTGGTGTTATCCTTCATAAATCCTTTGCTTACATAGGTGCTATTCACATATAACAAATTTGAGGCTGAAGTGCAGAATTTGTCACAACTAAGTCAGCGTTAAATAACAAGGATGTTTTTTACCCATAGGAGGGTAAAATTAAGGTGCTGCTTTCTTGCATGGGTCAAGCTGACTGAATCTGAATGGTAAAAGATTTGATAATAAGTATTGCAGTAAGTGATCTGAGATAATTTATTGGGGTTTCATTTACCACTACGTCTTTGTCTGAAAACTTTCTTTAATACAAACTTACAAATTTGTGTGGAAATATATAATGTACTTTGTGAAAAAGTTCTTGCATCTCATATTGCATTAACCTCTAAAAGTCCAGATTTCATGACATTAAATACTAATGTTATACAGGTCAGTAGTTCATATTTTAGCCTCCAGACATTGTATGAGTTATGTTGCAGTTACTACAGTATAAGTCCTGTTTTTTTCCCCCCAATATATTTCTAGTTTACTGCAGTCTGAAAGACTTTTTTTTTTTTTTTTATGTGCAGACTGAAAATGATGAGAATGGGCAAGCAGACAATTTTTCAATGGACCCCCAGCTGGAGAGACAAGTGGAGACAATTCGAAATCTTGTGGACTCTTATATGTCTATAATCAACAAATGTATCCGAGATTTGATACCAAAAACAATCATGCATCTTATGATTAATAATGTAAGTAACAGCCAGGGTTCTAAATTATTTTAACGTCTGTCAAATCGCTCGCGCTCATACAAACATGCCTCTTGAATACAGTAGCAACAACAGCAGGTACTGAAGAGAAGAACACACTCCTCTAAATGGGACACTCTTAGACAAAATATTTTAGTCTTCTGTAGTAGCAGGAAGTTTTGCAGCCTTCTGAAAGGCTGGCACACTGCCTTGAGTGTTTACTCCAAAATGCTCAAGATTTAATTAACTTTCATCTTAATCAGAAAATAAGTTATTATTGAAAGTTAAATCAAGGATTTTTTTTTTTCTTTCTTTTGATAAAACAGGCAAAGGGAGTTGGGAGCTCCATCTAGGCGGTCTGTGAGAGGATCAGAGCAGAGCTGTACTTATTTGATTTTGGTTTCTTAAAGCAGTTCTTATTTTATTTGGGTTTATTTATACTTTCAGGTTACCATTTTCAAGGAATCAATCTAGAAGCCTTGGACATTGTTGTTTAGATAAGCAGATGTGGTTGGTTGATTTATTGTATGTATCTGTCTGAGGACCTGAAGATTATTTGGTTAAAGAAATGGCTTTGAAATATCATTGTTTTTCCATTGCACTAGGATCTCAGCCTTCACGTCCTGGCAGAGTTCTGAATGGACCTTGTTGAAAACTAAGCTGAATATTGGTGTCACTGTTGCCATATAAATTAATAATGGAGTGCACTGCTCCTGTTAGTTATGGGTAGCACCTTTTCTGTTAGGTCATCAAACCAATCAGTTTATACAAATATAATATGCTATAAGGCAAATCTGGTTAGAAAGCAGCATTTACTTTTGACTCTGTCACCTCTAGCCTTAGTCTGATGGATTTCATTAGCCCTGTGGAATTTGTGTTGCACTTAAGTGTTAGGTGGTCGGACAGGAAATTTCAGCGGGATTTCCTGGTACATATAATACAATCACAATTTTTGAACGAGATGAAAGATATTCCATTAACTTCTTTAGGTTTAGGGGAGTCAGGCTCCAAATAATGCTCTAATGGCTGTATTTCTATAAGAGAAAATGCCCTTCCCCCCCCCCGCTGAAACCAGCCATGCTCTCGAATTTACAGGGTGAGCATGTTCCCTCTGCTCTTTCCAGATGACAGCTAGCAACTTCCTCCTTCGACTTAGCGCAACTTCAGTGCCTTTTGAAAGGGCTGGGTTTTAGCTCTCATTTCATAAACTGCAGAGATCGGTGAGCAGTTCCTTTTGAAAGTTTACGTTCCATTTTCTGCCACTCACCTCCTCATATGGAATAGTTTAAGGGTCTCTGAAGTGTATGCTTTACTTAGAAGTAGAATACTATAAGATTTTATACTTATGATCTCATCAGCTGTTACATGGGTAAAGTCTGCCATGCTGGCTGACCATGGCACACAGAAATAACCTACTTTGAACGTTGTCTACCTTTCAGTTGACTTCGTAGTCCATAGCTGTGTTTTGGGCTTGCTAGTGAGGCAAGATCTCCACCTCAATCCTAGAATTTAAATTTGTGGCGAAGAATCAAAACGTTTTAAAGGACTGTGAAGAGCGAGACTAAAAACATTAGCACACGTGTTTCTGTACAGCATAGGCAGTAAAATATCATCTTAAAAACAATAGCTAAAATACTGATTTTAAAAAATCAGTGCTATTAAAAATAAATAAATGCTTGAGTTAAGACTGCTGGGCCACACCAAAAGGTTGTACAAAGACCTGAAAAACAGTGAAGCTGTGATGGAAGGTGGGTCCTGTTAACGGGGGTGTGTGTGTGTGTGTGTGTGTGTGTGTGTTCCTTGGAGTCTTCAGAAGTCTAACCTATCCACCAGGAGTTAAGTGAAAACACCCTCTCTCCCCCTTAATGAGCATATTCCATAATTTCTGCTGCCCCATCATGTTGCCTCCAAAACTCTGGAAACAAATAGATCCCAAGGAGTTTGTTTCCATGACAACTGTAACCTCCCAAGTTCTCCTAGAACTTCCTTTCCACTTTGTGGGCCTGTAAATGAGCCCTTAGAATTCAAGGGAAGTATCAGATTCAAACTCAGTATACAGAAAATAATTAGATGCTGTCCCTAAGCATATTTGGAGGCCTAAGTCTAGATTGTTGTATTCCAAATGCATCCCTTACTCTTCCCTTAGGGTGGATGTTGATTACCTTAAAAGAAAATAAATTTACCACACAGAACTGCATTGAGTTACAGTTAGCAATTCAAACATGCACAAACAAAACACACATTTCAGAATTTGTATTTCGTGGTGCCTAGGTATCGCAGATTATACAGGAGGGGTGTTCTTACAGTAGACAGTGTATACTCCATAAACAGTGCTGTTACTAATCTCAGGTAAGTAGAAAAACTCCGAAGTACTTGTTACTACCAAACTTAACCTTAAGGAATGGATTGTGTTTGCATCTGAGTGATGGATGTTGTAGTCTGCCCACTGATGAATGAAGCTGCAAGCCCATCTTACCCCACTGCAGACTGACAGGGCAGGCTTTGTGGCATTGGCATTTTGGATGCTTGCTATGGTTCAGATTTGACTGCAGGTCTGATGTCTGTGAAGGAAAATGTTTTAAACCATTCCTGAGAGTCTTTCTGTTTTCTAGAAAGAAGCAAAGGTGTGTTGCTTTCCCTTCCTTTTCCAAGATGGAGAAAGTGGCTATTGTGGAAGATCTTCCTCTGTCTAGTACAGTGCAATGTGATTGCAGAAGGCTGGAGGTTGATCCAAGAACCATCCTTAATGCAGCAGTCTTCCTCTTCCAGAAGAGTTCAGAGAGTTGCTTGAGTCTCCTGCTAGTGGCAGACAGAGATCTCTCATGATAATTGTCACAGGCTGATTTTTTTCAAACAGATATCTGTGGTTTAACAATGCCTTTACAATCAGCTCTGGCCTTAATCTAATTTTAGGATGACGATGACTTCTTTTTTTGAAGTGATGCCATTAAAATGCTCATTTCATCGAGTAGAATGTGATGCTGTTTAACTATGATATCTGTTTTTAATGTGGAGTTTTTGGCAATCATGAGGAAAGTAGTGTACTCTGGCTCTTGATCAGTACCATCTACTGGAAAACAGCATGAGAGTCATGGAAAGTTTTTGCAGGCTTTGCTAAGAATTTGTGCATCTCCCGTTGTATGTGAATGGGAAATGACAGCCAAACCCAGGCAATATGGTTTTGTTTCCCTGTAGGGTCTGTCCTGGTCTTTTCATTGCCAGGTGACCATAAGGGGTCTCATACCCCTGCAATTTGACTGCTCTTACTGACCTTGTCTGAACAGAAACATTGCCTTAGTCTGTCAGGATTTAAGTCAGTGTTGCTGAACTAGCACAAACCCATGTGCAAACAGAGCTCAAGTTTACGTAATCAGAATTTTGGGAACGTATTATCTATCGTTGGTATCTCCAACTCGCAAAAGCTTTATAGAGTAAAAAACCAGGTGACAAATAAATCAGAACAGCAACAGAAGTCTCAAATGCAAGGGTTAGTCAGCTGTTGGTCTATTTACCACAGTCTTATTTAATCAGAGTACCTCTAGCTTTTTATCTCTCTTAATGCGGCCCAGGTTTCCATAACCAGGACAGGCATAGCAGGAAATCAATGTAGTAAATTAGATTACTCGGAGACTTCTCCCTTCAGTTTGAATGCACGTGGCTGGGATATTTAGAATCGGACTAAACTTTGGAGATCAAGGATACCATCTACAGTAGGGTAAATTGTTGCTAAGAAAATAATTGACAGAGATGTTATAAAGCCTGAAAATTCCCATTCCTGGGCAAATTTAATATCTATATGGTATTGCTAATGACTGCCATTTAACTCTTAGCCATTTAGAATTGGACCAAAATGCCAGTTCACTCCTGGGAGTGGTTGGGAAGCCTGTTTGAAATGAACTGTAAACTTAGGTGTCACCTTAGAGATGTAGATCAGTGTCCAGTGTTTCAAAGACAGACCAAAAAAAGGCCACAGAGCATTGTGGAGTGACTGCACAAGACCATCTTATCGTCACATGTGAATCGTTGTCTCAGAATGTGGCTTTGTAATTGTATTAAGCCCATCTACATGCAGGCAGCTGCTAAAAGATCCAGTCCACCCTTTTCCAGCTGCTCTAGCCAGTTGCACATGCCAGCCTTTCCTTGGGCCACAGCTACACCTCATGCTGCTGCAACATCAGCTCAATCTGAGTTTGGCATTTTTTAGTTCTTGATCTGACCTAATGAAAACTGCATGACCAGTAGAATTGATGTAAGGTAGCAGGAGAAAGCAATTAAATTGAGATATGTCTGTCTCCTGGTTCCATGGATCTCGCACCGTATTTATTCAGTGTTATATTTTCAGTAGGATGGGGGGGGGTTGTTTATTTGTTTGGTGGCTTCTTGTTTGTTTGTTTGGTGTTTTTTGTCTGATGAAATAGGTAAAAGAATTTATCAACGCAGAGCTCCTGGCTCACTTGTATTCTTCTGAGGACCAAAACACTCTAATGGAGGAGTCGGCTGAACAGGCACAGAGGCGAGATGAAATGCTCCGCATGTACCAAGCACTAAAGGAAGCCCTAGCAATCATTGGTGATATTAGCACTAGCACTGTCTCAACCCCTGCACCCCCTCCTGTAGATGACTCCTGGCTTCAGCAGGCCCGCAGGTAACGATCCTCAAATCTGTATGGCAATGAAATACAGGACAGGCAGACACTATTAGTGTCAGTAGCTCCCACCCTGCCTGTCTTTTTGGGCAGATACTCCTCCAGGTGTCCAATGACATTTGTGGGGGAAATCAAAACAACATTCCACATATACATATTCTAAGGGTATATATGTGAACACCAGATTGGGATATTTGCCTTGTAGAATACCATCCAGTGGATTTATAGCTTGATGCTTCAGATAGCAGCTGCTTCTGTCACCTCAATTGTGCATTCACAAGGCCTCTTATAGCAAGCTGTTATAATAATTTAGCATCTCAGGCTCCATGTCCTAGAAAATCCACTTAACAGAACGTTATTAGAACCATAATATTAAAATCCGTTACACTTACCTCTTTGTGTGTATGTTTATTTCTGACTATGGTAAATCTGTGGGAAGGGTGTGAGACTTAAATATAGGTGATACTCTGACACTGACAGCAAAAGAAAATGCCAAAAAAACCCAATTGTCATAGGCATAAAAAAGGTTTTAATTTCTGTTTAAAAAAATAAAATGCAATAATTTTAAAAAACCCCTCTCATGCCCAACCTTACTGAACTTTTTAAATCTCTGATATTTAACTAGATCACCTCCTCCAAGCCCCTCAACTCAGAGGAGGCCTACATTAAACAATCCCCCAACCAGACCTTTATCTGGCCGAGGACCTGCTCCTGCAATCCCATCTCCAGGCCCTCAGTCGGGGGCTCCTCCGGTCCCATTCCGCCCAGGACCACTGCCTCCGTTTCCAAGTGGTGGTGAAGCCCTTGGAGGACCTCCCCAGGTTCCCTCTCGGCCAACTCGGGCTCCTCCCAGCGTCCCAAGGTAAGATGTCTATTCTTCCTGGTGTTGGGGCATGGTTCTCTCCCTCTAGCATAACAGACAGATTCTGCACTGTGTCGGAAGGTTCAGCACTATTGTTGAGTAAGTTTCGTAACAAAGCAAAATTGGGCATTCCTTGCGGAGACTCAAAGGCGTTTTGAGGGGCCAGTTATTAGCACAAATACGACTTTTTGAAAAGATAGGAAGTGTTTTCATGAAGAGAAAAATTCCAGTCAGTTTGAAGACACTGTATTTTCTTACACTTAGAACCCCTGTTCTGGTTGTGTTGTACACACATAGGGGTTCACAGAGAGAGAGGTCATCTACCCCTCCAATAGAAGAGGGGCAGGGATGCAACTTCTCACTTCTACCATTTGGAGTCCTCACCTGAGGAAGTAATGGCTTTTCTGGGAGAGAGCAAGAACAATCCTTGCAGAAGCAGTGGAACAAACTGATAGGAGTCTGATTTTTATTTCACAAGGCAAGTAATTTACAGCCACCTGAAAACAATTCATAGTTGTCTAACAGTGTAGATCATATGATACAAAACAATTAGTTAATGAACATGATTTTCGTGACCACATTGTTTCCTTTCCTTCCCAGGGCTTTGCATTTATCAGTACTTTTTAAAGCAACTTTGCATATTTTATAATTTTGTGTGGCATTAACTGCTTTTTTATATGTTATATGAATAAAATGTCCTTAGTATTTATTTTCACAATGACATAATACACCTAATCACTCATATATGTATATATGAAAGTTTCTGATTCCAAGGGCTTCAGTAACTTCCTAAATTATGACAGGCATGGGCAGATTAGGCAACATTGGAAAAAGAGGTTTCTCCATTTTTAATAAATTGTTACATTAAAATTAGTCACAGTTAACAAAAAAATGCCATTTAAATAGAAACAAAAAGAAAATGTGCACATTTTCAATTTTAGGAATGGTAATTGAGAAGAGAAGCTTTGGAAAAAAAATTTCTTTTAAATAGGTGAGATCTATTGTAGTTGCCAGTAGCTTAAATTTGAGGTTGTTTCTAACATAATTACCTTTATAATATGAAGAATAAATAAATGAGGTATATCAAAGGAATTAAGTATTTTTTATGTATTTGCTGTGAAATGACATCGTTACATCAATGCCCAACCCTGAAATACACTCTTTCATCTTAGTGGATGTCCCATAGCTTGCAGTAGGACCACTGGGGAGAAACCTAGAATTGCCTGTCTGGGTACTAAACTTTGCACTGAAAGGGAAGAAGTCCAATCAGCATCCCCTCGCAGGGAGAGCCAGGAACTGAGCTGAAGGGCACTGGCCCCAGTGTTTAACCTGTGCTGTCAGAGGATAAATTACATTCTAGATACAGCAATGAGGTCCTGCGTTTTGTCAGTTGTACTACTGGAGAGAACCATAGCTCCCTGGCATCTCTCACCTCGCCTTGCAAATGAGCATGTCTCCTTTGTCCTGCCTGGCTGTGATTTTGCATGAACATTGCTTTCCTGAGGTGGCTTGCCAAAAGCATGTCTGATGATAATCTTTTTGATGCTAAAGTGATAGGTGGGATGGAGACCAGAAAGGAATTTTCTAGTGCGCTAAAGACACTCGGGTAAACAGCCTGCGAACAACTCAATTCATGACTGCCACTGGTGGCATGCAAAGCAGTGGCTGATAAAGGAGGTCAGTGTTTTTAAAATGCTGTAGCTGGATATATAATTGAATGTACAACTGCCTGACATTTTTGTGGAAAAAATATCTGCAATATGCATCTTCTGGACTGGATCCTAGATGTCTTTTATAGAGCTATGAAAGCCTCAGACATAAAAAAAAAAAACCAAACTCAGCTGCTTAAGAATGAAGGAAGGGTTTGCCATTGTGTTGAAACTTCAGGTTTCTCCTGCTGACTAAACTCTGAGAGAGGAAATCCCAGGGAAGGGGCTGCAGGGGAAATCACCTGAGGGGGACAGTGTGGCCGGCTCCTGGGCCTATTAAACGTTTCTTTTGAGCCCTGGAATTTCTGCTACGCTTGGTCTGGTTTTAATAACAGCCTTTGCAGGATCATAGGAAATTGACTCAGAAAATGGGTCTGAGATATTAAAAGGGGAAAAAAAATAAAATAGTTTTGAGGAAGAGTTCTTGTGGAAATTTGAGCTTTCTCTGTGACTTATTTTTGAACTGGGGCTCTGTTCTGACTGCTCTACCACCATTTTCTGCAATGATTCCTTGAAGTGTCAGGATCCCTCCTATCTAGGGAAATAGTTAGCTTCCTGAGAAGAAAGTTGTACTTTTTAAAGTCCTTCTAGCTTTCCAAAGGAGATTTTTGTTGCAGCCTCCGCCACTGTCAAATGGAGCTGAAAATCCTGATACTGCAGAAAAATAACCTTTCTAGTTTCTCCTGTTCTGCCATAACATAAAAAGACTGTTTCAGGGGTAAAACTTGGACCATCCTTTTCCAATGAGCAGCTGAGCACACATTTGCTTTGGAGAATTGGCACCTTATAGTGAGGTAGAAGCCTTGCCTTTAAAAAAATCATTTTTCTCCTCAACTTTATTAGCATTTAATAAAAGGAACTGTACAGAAATGGTGAGCTCTCAGCATTTTCTCACTGTTCCTTACTTACTGTACAGGGAAAGGAAAAGGGTTAGGGGGGCAGGAAATAATTTTCTTCCTTGCTTTGCTCTGATTCTAAAGCTGTTTTGGGTTATGTGCTCTGAATATTTCTGTAAGGAAACAGAAACTATTTGCATGATACATGCCTCGTTTAATTAATCCCACTTGAGGTGGGTGGATCTCTCCCAGCAAAGCCTGTGAGTAAAGGCCCCTGGCTTTAAGGGCTTGATGCCAAAGCATATATGATTTGTGAAATATTCCCCACTGCCAGAATTTAGATTATTCCCCCTCTCTCTTAAAAGGCTATAGTAGTATTTTAAAAGAAAATGCAGCTGTGTACTTGCATTGGTAAGATGGCTTTAAGCAGGCATTAGAAACCACTTTAGCTTACCATAATGTGTGTGTGCCTGCCTGTTTGGAAAGCCCAATCTTGACCAATTTTAGTTCTACTGTGGATGCTTTGATTTATGGCTTTTAAATGTCCTGAATGGGAATCTCAGCTTTGCCACAAGGAAAACAATTGGATTGGAAATGGTTTTCTCCTGGCAGCAGAGCACATGGAGTTAGTGAGGATGGGAGGGTGCTCCCCTTTTCTCTCTGTGTCCTGGTCTGCGGTGCTACTGTGGATTCATGAAGGCTTTCCCAGTGAAGTACTGGAGATCGTTACTCACTTTGCCATTACAACATATGTGCCCCTGTGCGATGTGGACCCTGGGGCCAGGTTAAATGGGTCTTGAAGGGCTGGACACAGCTGCTTAAGCAGGCAAGAACTTAAATGCGCTCGAGTACATCTGTGTCACCCTTGGGCACGCTGGTGCTCAGTCCCTGGGGGTTGAGGGTGGTCTTTACACGTGAGACAAGCAGCAGGGAGAGAGTTCATGTTATACTCTTCATGAACAGTCCCATACTTTCCCTACCACCTCTTCCATCTGTCTCTGTACAATTTGCTTCAACCCACAGCCAGCCAGCATGGAAGAGGTGATGGCTGCTATGCAGCTACATTTTATTATGCCACTGAGGCTAATTACATGACCTGTTATGTTTGTAACTAATCTATGTTGTAAGCCATCATTATGTATTTCTGCCAACCCAACACAAAAAAGTACTTATACTTGACAGTAATTAGAGTTAGAAAATTCCAAAGCCAGAAGCACTGCAGAAGGCATCACTGCCTGGCGCTTCCTGGTCCACAGGCTCTGTACTCAACTCTTTGAGTGTCAAATATCAACCATTAAGTAAGTTTTCTGTAATGGATTTTTACAGATTAGAGTTCTTTGGAACGTTTTAATGTAATGTCTAATCCTGTGCATTGAATGTTGAGGGGATCCCTTGCAAAAACTGCACATGAGCTTCTGATTAAAATCTGTCATAGTGCATAGGCTTATAAGGCCACAATAGTTCTCCTGCCTTAGCCTGGGAGTCTTCTCTTTTCTGAAAGTTTGACCTCTTACTATATTTTTAATGGAATAGAAATAACAATCAAGTAGCCATTGCTTCAAACTCCAGGATGACTAAGTGCCCACCTCAAAACACTTGCATGATGAGTTCAGTGATCTCAATTCCAACACCCGGGTGGAGGAGCACAGCTCCGTCCAATAGTAGCATCCATTTGTCCTCTCTGAGTTGATCTTCAGTGAAGGCTATATTCAAAAAGTATAATCAGCAATTAGGAGTGTTTCATGCAAGCAAAGACACAAGAGTGTTATTTGGAGGGATCTCAGAATCCTGATTAAGGGGGGAAAGGAAGCCAAAGAATAACTAATTTAGGTCTGCATATATATATACAGTTGGATGATGCAAAGCCAGCGTCCATCACGGGAGTGGATATTGCTCTTCCGTAGTCAGTATGTTTCCAACTCTGCCTGTCCAAGGACTGCAAAAATCACAAGACTCATGAGAATATCAGTTATTCTTTCTGTGATTTCTGCCGTGGGGGAAGACACCCCTGTGTAATTTGTTACCAGTCTAATTTACATTTTGTTGAAATGCACACCCAGTAATATGCTCTTTTTGCTGCTGGCTGCTTCAAGCAAGAGAGTCCATTTATTTTTCCTTATCTTCTAGAAAGGAGCTCTTTCACTTCCTCCACTGGCTCCTTTATCGCTATTTTGTTTTCCCTTTTTTCTGCCCTTCCCTTGCTGTCCCTTTCTTGACCATCCTGTTTGCTTCCTCTTTCACCTTCTCCCTTCACTTGGTTTCCTGCCCAGTACATTTGTTTCCCTTCTCCACATATTCCCTCCTTTCTTTCTTACTGTCTTGTCTTGTTTTTTTTCCAACTTATTCCTTCCCTGGCACCTTTGTAAATCTGCCTCCTGCTCCTAGCATTTCTCTCGTCTTTTAAAGTTTTACAGACAGTTTTCAAACCATAAAATGCAATATCTGGCAATCTTTC